ATGTTATTTTTTCTGTCATTTACTTGGGTAGCTCTGACCCACATTTTTCTTTTCTTTTTTCCTGGAAAAAAAGAAAAAAGCTGATTTCTTTCTAGGGAAGCTCAAAAAAGCAAGACTTATGTGACCAATATGTTTCCCATCCCTCACAAGAGACAAAGGGAACCACTGAGTATCAAAACTCAACACTGCACCCACTGGTCACAGAGCCAGATGCTAGGAGGTGCCCCTTACTGTGAGCCCGCTCAACACAAAACAAAACAGGCCCCCCAAAACAGAGTCTTCCGGTCTCCAAGCTGAAACACAATTCCAATAAAAAATGTTTATCATTCTGGAGCTTTAAAATGTCCTCACCAAATCAACTTCTGTTTTAAGCTCTAAAAACATTTTTGTTTTTTGAAAGCACAAAGTCAATAAATTAGGGCCAGGCAAATTCTAGTTGCCTTTCTGAGATGAAGTCCAGATCTCAGTGACGCTTCCCACCTCTTCCTGTTTGCTTTTTATGTGGGCCCCCTAATTGCAAGTGGCTCCCAGCTGTATTGTCCCTGTTACTGTTAGTGCTATAAATAAATGATTATGATCATTTATTAGCACACACCACCACCTTTTTGCTCAAAACATGTCATCTGAGCACATAAAACAACCAAGTATTCTGTGTTCTATGCGTTGGTTATTGTTGTTTATTATTATTATTGCTATTATTATTGTTCTTTCATTATTCTAAAATGAGGTGTCTTTTTCATTGTTTTCATTCATTCCCCTTTTAGAGGAAAGGGGCCAATCTAACAACCATTTAATGCACAAGCTGGTTTGGAAAGCAGAAATAAATGCTGGAGTGGTCTTAGCAAAGACAGACATGAATTTGGCAGATGTGATATTTTAGATTGCTTAAGGCACAGGGTATAGTTTCCAGAGCTCCTGGGGCAAAAGTGAAAGAAACCAATTTGGTGGTGGGAGGAATCTGGTTCCATTGAAGTAAAAGAGAAAGACAAGGGAGATGAGAGAAGGGCTTGATTTTGTACAGAGCAGGGAAATTATCTACTCTTTGCACCTCCCCCACCGCCATATGCTTCCTTAAAATTTTCTTTCTCCATACTTGAAAGGACCAGAATTTAATAGTGTTCATGCATTTGAAGTGCTAGACTAGCCCAAGCTTCCTCTGTGTTTGCATTTATCATAAGAAGTGATATCCAAAAAATCCAAGTTACATGATAAGGGAAACAAAAAATGAATAATGATTATTTAAGGAAATAAATTAAACTAACAGGTAGTTTTAAAAGAAAAGGCAGTTGAGCTCAGGTAAGTTGAGATGCAAGATCAGAGAGAGATATAGAGACTGAATTACAAGTCAGTCTACGTCAGGGTTTTGGCTGAGGAAATGCAGTAGATTTCACCAGTGAAACACTAAATTGTAGTCACTCTGGGGGCCTGCATGAGGGGAAACAATGATATTAAAAGCTCAAATTCACTTTGGATGTCTTGAAGTCAGACACTGTGGTAAAAGAACAGATATCTTTACAGAGGGATACAGGCAATCTAATGCTGAATATGTTTATGCCGAGACATCACACACTGCTGTGTAGATGTCACTTTGCATGTGTCAACCAGAGACATCGTCTTCCTTTTTGCGGGGAAAACAGTACATTGCCAGCAGTAGGCAGAGTAACTAACTCAGAGGCACTTGCCGGGGTACAATGAGGGGATTCTGGGAGCTTGAGCAAACCAGGGACATAGCCATCCCACAATTCCCACTGAGACGAAGCCTGCTTAGAAACCTCTGATTTCTACAAATCTCCTACCTAAACTGTTTCTCCCTTTTGGCTTGTTCAGGAGCCAACGCTGGGGTGGGAAAAAGAAGGGAAGATGAACAGTTCCCCAGTGCCCACCAGGGGACCACTGAACCCAATCACGACCCTGATCTTGCATTCCATGAGGCCCCATCCTCTTCCCATTTCTGGAAGGAAGATGGGATGAACAGGCTTTGGACTAAGAAGACCTTCATCACAATCTTGCCATTGTTCAGTCTTGGGAATACCTCTAATGTCCATTTCCTTACTCAAAAAACAAGTTTTGCATGGATTGGTTTCTAAATTAGAAAGAATGTGTACAAAGTGACTGGTAGGTACACAGTAATCATCAAGAAGTATAATGCATCTTGCAATTCTACCTGCAAAACCCAGAGTCCGCAATGTCTGCCTCTACTATTGAGTTTTGGTTCCAAGATTCCGCTCTGCCCAGGAGACTGATGCTCTCCTTGGAACTAGCTAGACTGACTTCTCCCCTACCTTCTTCACTTTCGAAGCTTCACGTCATGTGGCAGCCGCAGACAGTTCTATTGTCTCAGAGCACATGGAGAAAGTACCTGGTACAGGTGAGGGACAGAAGCCTGATCTGCAGTCCCCAGTCATTTTTCCTCCACCCAGTTTCAGGCCATTCCCTACAGCCATCGAGGTTTCTGGGCTCACAGTACCCCCTGATGGCTGACATGGGGAACTTTCTTTCCCCAAAGATTCCTGTCTCTCAATGAGAAGAATCCCGTCTTTCCTAGGTCACTGTGCTGTTCATTCTATCATGAACCATTCATCTTTCTGAAGCTTTCTGCAGCCTCCCCTGCCTTGCTATGAAAAAAAAAAAAAAAGTCCTGCTCAATTCTTTCAGGAACATCCATTTCTCTCTCCCTTTCTTTCTCTCACTTTGTTCCATATAAGAATAAATGAGTCCTCAAAGTACTGTGATTGTTGAAAGTGTAATCATAGGACGTATCTATCTTCGAGGGAAAAAAAATCCCACGTGTTTAGAAGTAAGATGAAGTGTAAACCCAGAAGCACTGATCTCTAAAGCCTTTTGAGAACTCAGCTGTCTTCTTCAGAACCTGCACAAAAGAGCTCATCTCTTCCCTCGTCTTTCTCCAACTTACACTGATCTTTTCTCGACATCGCCGTCCATTGATTTAATTTCCAAAACTGTATTAGTCTGAGCCCGACTGCTTCACTGCAGAGATAATCTAGCTATAAAAAGGGTTAAGTGAATTCCTGTGGGCTTCTCTGGAAGTGAAAGTGCAGGCTTTCGGCATTAGTTCTCTACGGGAAAGTGAACTCAAAGCTCCAAACAACTCTTTTAGAACAAGCCTTGGAAAACATTACCTAGTGAAATTCAACACTGGAAAATTTTGATTGGGAGTGGTCAGTTTTTGAAAGTTCATTTGGATGCCTGGTTTCTCCAGATTTTATCTGCTGAACTATGACGTCTCCTGGGATTAGTGCTTACAAAGGTATTCAGGTGTCACTTCTCTGGGTAGACACTGAGTCTTCCTTTATCAAAGGAAAAATATACTAACCAGATCCTGATTTGATGTGTTATGGAACGTCCTAGAAGGTTACTAAATCCATTTCCAGGACTACCTGTTGCTTCTGGTGGAAACCCATTAAGCATTTCTCATGAATGTTTCTTTTCCTGAATGTAAATTCAAGTAATACCAATGATTTGTGGTTTTATGTGTCAATGTCTGAGTTTAAAATACTTTTTAAAATACAAGTGATTAGGTCAAGAATCATTACAATGGCATTAAGTAATTATTTCTTCTGATTTAGAAAGTTTGTTCTTAAGCTAAATGTTAGCAACTGAAAGGCAGCTTGAGTCCTGATAAAACAATTTATTAAAAGCTTTCTGTTACAAAAGAACACTGAAAAGCTTAATGTTCCCCATTGTTAAATTTAAAAGTAAAAGTTCATAAAACATCACAAGAAATAACTGAATTGTTTAATGAAAGGGCAAATAAGCTATTGTGACCATATATAGCTAGGCATGAAAAATATAATTTTTAAATGCTTTTATAAAAGACTTTCCTAATTTGGTCATAATGTAAGGTAATATTTACATGGAATTTTTTCTTTGAAAAATTTCCATATTGATAGAAAACTGAAATTATTTTCCCCTTCAACATACAAATTAAAGGAACAAGTGTACAGCAGCCAAGTGATTTCTTCAAAATTCTTTTGAAAATCAACATTTGACACACATTCTAAACTCAAACTAAGATAACAAAAATGCACCGAAATCAAGAATGATGTCATAAAATAGTTGTGCAGTGCACTGGATATTTTAAATGATCATCAAAGACGTTACTTGAGTCAACACAGTCACATTTTTCTGGAAAGAGGTATTTGCTTTCTGATAATATATATCACTTGAATTCATGGAGTTTTGGTGGTACACATTAAAACACTCAGTGTTAATGTTTTCAAAAGCATTACTTTTAAATTATTTTCTCAGGACCCAAAGAAAAAACACCAGAGGAAACATAAGCAGACTGAATTGTTTAAAATGTATTTTCCCTTTAATTAAATAAGAAACATCTGTCTGGGGATTTTGGAAATGAATGTACTCTATCCCCACTCTGCCTATACCAGTTTGCATCCAAGCTCCAATATTTTGAAAGAAAATGCTTTCTTTCTGTAAAGAATTAAACAGCAAATACAGAGTGAGGGTCGCGTCTGCTGTACTACCTTTTTCTTTTTTTTTCTTTTCTCTCTCCTTTTTTTTTTTCTTTTTTTTGCTTAAATTCTTTTATTGGTACATTTTAGGTATAAAGCTTGGAAACAGCCCAAGTGCCCATCAACTGCACTGCCTCTTTCCTCTGGACTCTGGGCAGTGGAAATGCTAAGGAACTGTCTCTGCACACATCTCTCCCAGGGAAGCAACCAGATCCGGTCCAAAGTCAAGGCTAGAAGACAGAACTTCTGTTAATTTTCCAAAGCACGCCCTCACCCTCGAAACGCTCAGCTCTGGTCAACGAGGAAAGAAGTTGCAAGGATGCCCCTAATGCCCAGGGTGGAAATCCATCGCTCCCTCCCTGGGGTTCACTAGACATTCTAACTCAGGGTTGAGCAACCCGGAGGTGTCATGCAAGCCAAACGAGTAGAAAGGACGCGGGAAGTTGAGTCCGGGATGGGACTGGTTCCTTCAGACAAGGGCTACAGTCCGCAAGGGCAAACATCACTTACTGGTGGTGTCAAAGGGTATCTGCTTGCAGGGCGCAGACCCCTCGGGCGGCCAAGGACAGTAGTACACGGCTCCCCCTTCCACGATGTCCGGCTGGCTGGTGTTGGCTTTGGGGGCCCCCACCAGGACACTGGCTCTGCGAAAGGGTGGGCGAGAGTCACTCCTTGGGGGTCACAAAAGCGTGGTCTGCAGCGGCGCGGCCACCCAGAGGGGAGCAGGGGTTACAGGGTAGACCGTCGTTGGGGTTGGGGAGACCCGATTCTTCTGTAGGTGGGGCTGTGTGCATACACTGAGATCAGAAGCAAGAGGGGAAGCGGAGGACAGAGCCCAGCTGCTGCAGCCGAGGCAGGCGCAGTGCAAACACCGGTGCCCTGCCTGGCTTGAGTCTGGGGTCCCCGTATGATGCACAACCCTTGCAACTGGGAATTCTATACAAGAGGCGAGTCTGGTTCGAGGCTCACAGTCACCTCCAGGGGGCACCGGCAGCGAGGCTGGCGGCGCGCGGGGAGCGAGACGGGACCGCGGCTGGGGGACCGCGCGGGGTCGCGAGCGACTTACGTGCGAGCGTCAGGGAGGTGGAAGTCCACCGCGTAGCCGAAGTAACTGCCCCGGGGGCCGCTGTACACCGTGGCCCCGTCCGCGTCCAGGTTGAACGCCCGCGACGCCGGGGACCACAGCATCCCCAACGCGGCCCAGAAGCACCAGCGCGGCGCGAGCGGCTGCGCCCCGGCAGACATCGCCCCGTGCCCGCGGCCGCCTGCGCGGTGAAGTCCGCGTCTGCCCGCCGGCTGCCGCGCGCGCGGCTGGGCTGGGGAGGAGGGGACCGCGCGCGTGCGAGCCGCGGAGCGGGCGGGACCGGAGTGTGCGCAGCGCCTCCTAGCGGCCGGGCCGGGTGGGGACGGCTGGGTGCCCGCTGCTGGGGCCGTGAGTAAAAGCCACTTGAGGCTTGCTGCCCCCTCAAGCCATTGTCTCCAGAAGCAGGGTCCCACGCGCGGAGCGAGGGCTTGCTCGTTTCCTGCTGTTGCGCGCTCTGGATGGAGGAAGGGGAAAGGGTCCCCTGCCCCAGCCCCGGTCAGACAGGTGGCGCCCTCATCTTAGCGTCCTCTCGGTAGCCCGTGGACCCTTCCTCTGGGACTGGGAGAGAGCAGTGGGAGACAACAATCCCCTCCGCCCTCAACTCGGCCCCTCTTCTGAGACGGAGGTACCTGAAAAACAGAGAAAGCCTCGAGATGTTGAGATGTTACGTAGGTCTTTCTCACGGGGGTCTCAGGCACTTACAATGACTTGGTAGCAAATTTCCTCCACCCCGTGTGAGTAAGAAATCGGCAAAGTAAGGGACGAGGAAAAGTTCAGGTTGCCCAAAGCTGGAGTAGAGAGGGTAGGTTTTTCCAGCCCACGAATGTTAGTTACTGATCTCTTGCCACGTCCCGTGTGGGGAGGGAAGGAGGAGCCAGCAGGTGGAGGGAGGAGAAGAGAAACGGAGTGCAGGTCCCCTTGCTCAACACTCCCAGGCCCACAGGACTAATGCCAGGACAGTAAGGGGCTGAGGTTAAACAGAGATGAAGAGTGGAGACGGGAGGTTAGTCGTTTAAAGGAGATTTAGTGTTTAAAGGAGATTTAGTGACACATGTACACTAGACAAGAATTTGAATCAGTGCAGTTAGAGTTGAGCATTGTGGAAGGGGCAAATGAGAGAAAATATTAAAGATGCAAGGGCTGGGATTAAATGGTTGGGCACAGGATTGAGATTAAAGGAATGGGTTCAGGAAGGTTGGGAAGTAGGGCTGGACGGATCTCCTGGGGCCGAGGATCCTAGTAACAAGAACATGGGTTGAAATTATTGAAGCAAAGGGAGCCAGTGCTAGAGCAGGGACATGAGGTGCCTGCAGGAATTCGAAAAGCTTAGTGGTGAGGGTGTGTGTGAGTGTGAGTTGGAAGAGAAAGCAAAGAAGTTTTTTCCCAGTTGGACAGGGAGACAAAGGTCCCATCCCATTTAACAGAAGGAAGACCCCAATGTGGTGGACACGGTTGTTAAGGAAAAGAAAATAAGATCAGGGGAGAGACGGCAGGAGGGAAGAACCCAAGGTGTGTCTGACAATATCTACGTAGAAGAGAAGAGTAACAAATGGTAACAGAGAGGTAGGGCGAGCTGGTGTGAGAAACAGATGGTGAGTTCCCTGAGGGAAATGAAGGAGTGACTAGCCTGGGATTCATGGCCTCCATGGTATCGGGGAGCTGTCAGTCCATTGATACAGATTTGGGAAACTATTTGAAGAAAAAAACCTCTGAGCCCACCGAAAGACCAGATTTTCTCATTGCCTTTCCATCAGAAGCCACTGGAGAGGCTGATTTGAATTTTCGGTCTTTACTTGTCTTACCCCTGTAAAAAAGCCCTGGCAAATTGCTACATCTGGATCATCTCCTAAATGTTTTGTGCTTTTCCAGATGAGGAGTTAAGAGTAGATGGTGAAAGTCCATTTCTGTTGGACACAGAGTGCTACTCTGGTCAAGTTTCTATGTTAATAAAAAGTGATATTCCCCAAAGTAGATTTCAATGAGGAATTCACATGTAGCATACACATGGGAATGCTCAAAGCCATTGTGGTCATTGAGGTTAGGGAATAACCTCAGCTTGTTCATTTCCTGACCCCAGCATGCTGAAATCTGTCACATTGCAGGCAAGCCTTAGGCTAACATGTAACGTTTAAGTGGTTAGAAAGTAATAGCATGATCCCAGATTGCACCTGACTTGTGTACTGACTTCCTGGGCAGAACTAGCCGCATCATGCACAAAGCCTTGACTCACATGGAGCAGCTCATAACCAATGTGTCTCCTGTTGTACCCACTTGCTTATTTTCTATTCTTTTTGTTGAAGACATGTAAGGAAAAAATTGAGTTATTGTCACATATATGGATGTAGTCTTGTTCCTTTCATCCAAAACATACTTTCTCTTGACTTTCACAAGCCTATCTTCTCAATAGTGCCCCTTTCCACTTTGCAGATAAAAACCCAGATTAGGGTTCAGGAGGTGCACGTAACATGCATGTTCACAAAGCAAGCGAATGGTAGAATTTGAACCATGCCTATCAGTTGTCAAAGCCAACTGATTTGCCAAAGGGTCAGTTGCCAGAGTTTTTAAGGAATAGACTTTATTTACTTTTGCAGAGGCAGTGTGCTCTTTGGGGCTGAATCTGTGGGCATGTCTGTGAGTGATGCTTGTGGGTTCCATAAAACAGCTGTGTGCTTTCAGAAAGAAGTTTGGTGACACCGTTGTATTGAAAAGGTGGAGGGAAAGCAAACTAAGTCAGAGCTCTTTGACCTTCCTGGGAGGCCAAATGCCTGGGAGAGCAGTAAATCTTTTAAGAAGCCAGAAAAAAGAAAGGCTTCCATAATTGCAGGGAAGGGATACGTCTGAATAGGTGTCTTGTACATTTCAGCATTTTGACAGATGGGAACCGTGCCAATCTGCAAGATCTGGGGTATTGTCAAAGACACGCTTGGACAGTGACAGGTCTCATGCTGAATGAGAAGTTTGACATTTTAAAGATCTACAGGCACTGATTTGTTTGTCAGAAAAGCAAGCCTGGGAATTGTTTATCATGTATGAGAGTACATGTGTACATTTAATAGTGAGAAAGGTATACATAGTTGTTTTCCTAAAAAGAAAAGAACCCAAAGGTCAAAGATGGAACGGATTTGGCCCAAACATTCCAAAAATAAACAAGTAAAGAGTACCAGAGGAAAAAATGATCTTGGGGTTGTAGCCATGTACAAAGTGCTTAAAAATAGAGATGCTGCAGCATTTAACCATTTAGTGGGTATTCCTAGCCAAATACATTCATGATTGCATGACCAGCTATCGGTTCTGATTATGTTTAAGTCTATTTCTTTATGTGATGAAATGTGATGCCTTGAAATCAGAAAGTGTGAGAGTTCTGACATGATTATTTCATTAACACACCCACACTTTCAACATGTGGACAAAGCCATTTATGAAATAAACCAATGTAAAAGCAATGCATACTCGACTGTGTACGAATACCACACATTCTTTATCCATTCATCTGCTACTCTGCCATAAAGAAGGATAAATTTGAGTCATTTTAGGAAAATGGACACACTAAACACCATAATGTTAAATGAAATAAATCAGACACACAAGCTTAAATATTGCATGGTTGCTCTTCTATGAGAAACCCAAAATATAAAAGATAGATAACAGGAATTAGAGAGATAGGTCTTTTTCAAATGGGAAGAGGACTAAGAGATTGCAGGAGGGTGAAGAAGGGAATGAGACATGAATTAAGATGTGTTACATACATGTGCCGACTCCCCATAGTGAATGTAATCATTATGGACTGCCAACATGGACTAATAATTAGAAATAAAGAAAAATGCATCTGAAAGAGAAAGTAGGTTTCCAATTTCTTCTTGTAATTTGGTCAATTGAGTTGACTTCAGATTTTTCTTTTGCCCTACATCTCTGTTTGCCTGCGATGTTAAAAACAACTGATTAGCAGAAAATGGCTAGTGAAACCTACGGAGAGGAAACAACTTTGAACTCCATCAAGTTCTCTGCTGACATCAGTGTATGTCTGCACATTTTCTATTCTTGTCTCCGGAGGGTGAATTTCATCATAGTCAAATCATTTTTCTTCCTTTTTTGATGATTTTTGTTTGTAATTCTTTTATGATTTTCCTTCATGATTTTATTAGCCACTTTTAAGTTAAAAGTGCCACAGCGAGCGATGTCGTCCCTATTGGCAGCAGTTCAAGCTCAGCCAGTGGAAGGAAAATTCCCACTAGTCGGAACCAGACTCCAACTTGATCTCTTTTTAGAACAAGCCTTTAAAAACAGCCTTGCTTCATACAAAAATAAAAATTACTAAAACAATTCTTCCTCTAAAGGGAAAGTAACAGGGGAAAACCATGTTCTTCCTGAGCATTGCTATCTGGGGACAGATTTTCTGGAGAAATCAAAGCCTGGGAAGAGTCAAACCTTTAGTCAGGACCTTGAATGATTTACAGGCTTCATGGAGGGTCGTTTCACGCCAGAATTCTGAAACGCCTATACAGGGATGCGATGGTGGGACCAGCTCTTTCACTAAGCAGTGTCTAAAAGAATTAAAGGGGACATGTGAGGGATGGGAGGGAATTCACAGCATCTAAGCTGTAAACTTGTAGTCTGATGACGGGAGAGTCTAATTCCGCCAAGGGTTTGTGTTTGAGTTCGATACAAAAAGAGTCTTCAAGAGGCTTAAAAAAAAAAAGTCTCCGATTCTCCTTAATGTGCTAGGGTTGAGGGCAGTGCTGCTCTGGTGACTGGAAATGAGGGCACTTAAAGTGGGAAGCAAGGAATTCTCCCCACCGATTTACACACCGGAGAGGAGAGCAGAGGGCTGTGTTTAGTCGGCTTGAAGAAAACACGGCAAGGATATCTAGGACTGCCCTCTAGTGTCTGTGATTCTCTGCAAGTGGTGGGTTTTTTCCATGAGTAATAAAAGTCTTCCTGGTGAAAAATGATTTAGCCTCCTAACAATACAGTGGACTCTCACAAAAGGATTTAAAAATATTATTCACTAAAATGTTTCCAACTATTGAAGGGATCTCTCCCACATTTATTTGGATTTTTATTTCCTTGTTATAACTTTGCGAATCATCAAATGAAAAAGAAAAATGGAAGGAAGAGAGGGGGGAAAAGGGAAGGATGGGAGGAGTGGGGAAGGGCGTTGCCCATTAAAATACTGCTTAATATTTTCCCATTTAATGGCA